TATTGATGGTTGAGCTGCATTGCGAAGATTTCAGCTCAGATGCTTTTAGGTTTGGAGTTCGGCATCCAGATGCCTGTTTGATGTTCTGTTGGATCATTCCTGTTAGCTGTATCAATTGTCAAGTGCTAGGTGAATAGTGTCTACTTTGAGCCAATAATTTAGAACATTTCTAGTACTTGACTTGAGCCACCAATTTTCTCAAGTCATGCCATCGGAGATCCTTCACTACTCCAGCAATTAGAAGTATCGTTACAAATACAATTGGAGGTCCGCCTGTTCCCGTTACCATTTTTTTAGCAAACAGTGACTTGTAAGTGGTTCCATTTCCATATTTGAAATGAAAAGGATCTCGTGCTGTTTTATTCGGATAGTTTGCATTTTATTTGGATAGTGTTTTTCAGACGCATGTTTGATATTCTATTGGATCATGCCCGTTAGCCGTATCAACTGTCAAGTGCTAGGTGGATCGTGTCTTCTTTGAGCCAATAATTTAAAACATTTCTAGTACTTGACTTGAGACACCAATTTTCTCAAGTCATTCCATTGGAGATCCTTCACTACTCCAGCAGTTAGAAGTATCGCTACAAATACAATTGGAGATCTGCCTGTTACCATTCCCATTTTTTTAGCAAACAGTGACTTGTAAATGGTTCCATTTCCATATCCGAAATGAAAAGGATCTTGTGCTGTTTCATCTGAATAGTGTTTGATTTGTATTTCCTTTTAAGTTAAAACACACGAGCTCAATTGATCTATGATGGCAATTCTCCATATGAGTGAGCATATGATACCCGAATTGTTTCATCTGAATATCAACCATATGGCATGGGTTCTTTTGATATGTCAAAAACAGCCTAATCCTTCTCAGCTTTGACATGCATACCTGTAACAGAACAAGTAACATGTTTTTTGTTTTGTGTGTATGAGTGGATGGTGCTTCCATGAATGAACAGACAGGATGACTTGATTTAAGCTCAATTTGGTGGTTCAGTTGTTTGCCAGTGCATGAAGGCATTATAGACAGTGTCCTTAGTTAGCTGAGCATTTAACCAGATAATCAACCGAGCACTACCAAATGTTCACAACTTTTCTGCACCCACAAATCAACCTATGAAAATGAATGTTCCACTAACATGTAAGGATTACAGCTTTGAGGTTCACTAGGATCATCGACTACAAACCCCAAGGCACATTTTCCTATTTGTGTAGCATTAATATTCCACTGACATACGGAGGTTAGCGTCCAGGTTCACTAGGATCATCTACTTCAAAGCCTGAAGCACATTTTCCAATTTGTGTAGTATTAACTGAAATTGCTTCTGCAGTTTGCTGTGCGGAACAGTATAGCACAGACATGATGCACTATTAGTTCTTGAGAAAGGAAAAAGTATACGAGTGCTGAATGCCTGCCCTGGAATCCAAGACACTTTTTTTAGAGAATCCAAGACACTTTACCCGTACTACTACTTAAGCACTATCTTAAGCTGTTACTTGCTGTGAGAGTGACATGGCCAAAGAAATGAAGATAATGTCTTCTAGGAGACAATTGTTTTTTTGGCATGACCTTTGTCAATCTTTTGTGTTATTGCTTGTACTCTGGATATTAAGTGTTCCACTTAGTGAGATGTTGAATTGAGTCCTCCTGAATAGGTAGGATGACTTCATGTAAGTTCAATGTGGTTTCATTGTTTGTCAGTGATTCCATAAAGGCATTATAGACGGTGTCCTTAATTAGCTATGCATTTACCAACTAATCAGCCGAACACTACCGAATGTTCATAACTTTTCTGCACCCGCAAATCACACCCCTGAAAGTGAATGTTCCACTGACATATAAAGGTTACAGCTTTTAGGTTCACTAGGATCATCTACTTCCAAGCCCAAAGCATATTTTTCCAATTTCTGTAGCATTAATATTCCACTGACATATCTTACAGCTTCCAGGTTCACTAGGATCATCTACTCCAAAGCCCAAAGCACACGATCCAATTTGTGTAGATTTAACTAAAACTGCTTCTGCACTTTGCTACGCAAAACAATATAATACAAACAGGATGCATCATCAGTTCTATGAAAATCAAGTATACCTGTACTTACTACTTGAGCAATCTGTTACTTGCTGTGAGAGTGACATGGCCAAAGAAATGGAGATAATATCCTCTAGGAGAAAAAATGTTCTTGCATGACCTTTGTCAGTCTTTTATGTTATTGATCATGTGCTAGACGATGTGTGTTCCACTTAGTGAGGTGTTGAATTGAAGGTTTTCGATAATACTGTACTAAAATACATCCATTTACTTGCTTCCTGCTTTCGGGACACCGAAATGAAGGATATTATGGAACGGAGGGAGTGGTACACAATTGCATATGGAAAGAACAACGTTATGCAAGTGCAGATCTGCTTTTCCACTTCATTTTCTGAAAAATGTAAACTGCCTGCCAGTTTGCTTTAAACTAACTTCTCAGAGTTTGTCAGGGAGCTCCCAAACACTATTTTAAAGCTGGTGACAGTGTGTGGACGAGATTGTTATTAGTCCAATGCTGCATATGTGCTGGAACATATTTTAGAATTGTTTTAGGTTATCATTTTCCTTATTTTAGGAAGCAACACAATCTCCTGATTTTCTCCGCTATTTTATATCTGGAAAGTTTTTGACAGCAGTCAAGTTGTTGATTGACAAACAGAGTTGCTAGTCATACCGTTATGCAAATTGACACTGGTTAACGGTTGGTTGATAATGATATATCTTGAACAGGTCTTCCGTCATGATTGCACGACCGCAGATATTCAATTTGTTGCAAGATCTACTTTGTGTTCCCTCTATTTTGCTTTGATTGCAGCTTCTCAAGAATGAGCAGTATCCATGGTCAACAACCAGGTCATCATTTGCTTATGTTACTGGTTAAAACATTCTTGTTAGCCTGAGCATACGTTGTTAATCAGTAACTGGCTTCATACAGTATGAACAATTATTAATGATATCATGATACTGTATACTGTTGGCAATGGCATCCATGACTATCTGCTGCAGATTATCTCTGCTCTTAATCCTCTATCTATCAATCATACGATTTGAATTTGCCACTGCACCTGACTATTTTTTCTGTCACAATAGAAGAAATCTGATTATTTTTCTTGTCACACCAAAAGAACTCTTGCTATTTTTCTTGTCACAACTGGAGCAATCCAAGGTATATCTCCCTCTAGCAGACATGGATGGCTTCTTCAGAACAAGGAGTACTGTACAGTCCAGTCTTGGCAACTGAAATTAGCTTGGGTGTTGCTGTCAGCCTTATTATTATTTCCAACAGAAGGCATAATGCAACTGTGGCTAAGATAGTCTGTTCCCTGTCTGCGCAATTATGCAAGGTAACTGTGGTGTGAATGGAGGCCATTTCTTACTTACATTCTTCCACTAATCTTTGCGAGTTGACAATTAACTCGTCTACCCCAAATACAGCATTTCAATCTTGTCAGATTTGGATCATCAAGAAATTTGCATACTAGAAGTTCAGAACCATCACAAGGCAAGCTTTTTATCCAAGATGTCCAACACCAGGTAAGCATTTGACATCAGAGGTGCATATTTACACTGCTCACAACACAACACAACACAAAGAATGTTCAGCAGCAGCCAACGAATAGCACTCTTAGTGTCTAGGGCAATATACACAAGCTGGCAAGCATATACCTGGTTTAGGCTATCATTTTCCTTATTTTAGGAAACAGCACACTCTTCTGCTCTTCCCAGCTACTCCCTCCGTTCCGATTTACTCGTCGTGGTTTTAGTTCAAATTTGAACTAAAACCACGACGAGTAAATCGGAACGGAGGGAGTATTTTATAGCAGGGAAGTTTTTGACACGAGCCAATATGTTGATTGACAAATAGAGTTGCTAAGTTATACTGCTATGCATGTTGGCACCATGCTTGAGGGCTGGTTGATAGTGCTATGTCTGTAACAGGTCAGCCATCATGATTGCACGACTGCTGATATTCAATTCGTTGCAAGATCTACTTTATGTTTTCCCTCTTATTTGCTGATTTCAACTTATCAAGAATGAGCAGTATCCATGGTCAACAGCCAGGTGATTGTTTGTTTAATTTATTTGTTGGTGATTGTTTGTTTATTTTACTGGTTATAAAGCATTCTTGCTAGCCTATATGTTGTTAATCAGTAACTGGCTTCAGAACTGGTTATGTCAAATGCTCAAATTAATCTTGGTCCAGATAGTATGAACAACTATTAGTGGTATCATTATATTAGGGGCATCCATAGCTATCTGCTTCAGGTTACCTATCTCTGTTCTTAATCTTCTATCTTATCCATCAAAAGGGAGTACTGTACAGTCCGGCCTTGGCAACTGAAATTAGCTTGGGTGCTGCTGTCAGCCTTATTATTGCCAACCGAAGGCATAATGCACCTGTGATTAAGATAGGCTGCTCCCTGTCTGCAATTATGCAAGGCAACAGCGGTAAGAAAAAGAGCTCATTTCTTATTTCTTTCATTTTTCAACTGATCTTTGCGAGTTGACAAACAACTTGCCAATTCCAAAGACAACACCAGGTAATTTGAACAAGAAGAAATTTGGATATCAGAACCATCACAAGACGAGCTTTCATCCAAGATGTTCAACACCAGGTAAGCATTTTACATCAGAGTTTCATATTTACACTGCTCACAGCACAACACAAAGAATGTTCAGCAACAGCCGATGAATAGCACTCTTGGTGTGTAGCATCTAACACAATATACACAAGCTGCCAAGCATTTATTATGCAAAACTCGGTTTTAATTTTAACATAACTAGTAAACGCGCGTCGCGGTTCTTCCACACCCATCACCAGCCTTTGGTCTCGTCTACCTGATGAACATAACTTGAGGCAGTTACACTGCAACATCGGCCGAAGTAGTAGTAGATATGATCTTTGCTGCACTAGCTCCAAAAGCAACACAGGCAACAGTACATTATTTCTTCTCTGCTGCTCTATGGACCTAGTCAAAATTTGCAGGAGGTGCCCAGCCGTTGCTTCATCCGCTGCCCCGCCGCCGCCTTGCATTCCTCCAGCGCTTCCTTCAGCAGCTCCTGGAACTTCTCGACGAAGACGTGCCACTCCTCTGCGCTCATGTCTGACAGCCTGACGAAGCACAGGCTCGATGGGAGCTGCTCGTCTGCGCTCCTGTTCGGGGCATGCATGCTGCTGTTTGAACTAGTTTTTGAACTGGTGGTTCTGTGAAGACTGGGCGTGCTGAACTCAGCAGATGAGAACCGATCGGATGAATGCATGGAAGGCTCCTTTCGATCTTCTTCGTCATCACCGTCCTCGTTCATGCTCTCCACGAGCTTTGTCAGAGGGTTTCTGAAGCTGCCCTTCAAGCCTGAGCAAATGAATCTTGGCGATCGAATCACATCACTGTACCCTCCTAACACATCCATTGAGAACTGGAAATCCATGTCCTCTCCTTGTTCAACACTAGGGGAGAAGGGTTCCCATTCGTCTACTTTCCTCCTGGCTTCCATGCACACAACCTCCAGTTTGCTGGGTTCCTCCTCCATTCCTCTGAATTCCCTGGTCATCATCTCACCTATCTCTGCCAAGCAAAGCCCGAAAGCAGCGGCCTCCTTGAGGAAGATTGTGCATAGAATAAGCACTCGGAGGCAAGCCTCACGTATCATGGGCAGTTCTCCGCGCAGCATTGCAGCATCCCTCATCGGATCAAGTTTGCTAATGTACTCGAGCTCTTCCTCGGAGAACGGGATTGACGCCTGTGCCCAGTGTATCCACTCGAAATAAGGGTCCTCCAAGTTCTCCGGTAAGCAGAGCCCATGATCAATTGGGAACAGTTCTGTTTGGCAACCAAAGCGGCCGGTTCCTCCATCAAGCTTCCTCACCAGGACATTGCCACCATGCCTGTCAGTGTTGAAAATCCTGATGTCTAATATGCCGATCCTGTGAACAGCTGCAACCGGGAAGCTCGAAGTGCCGTGGTCACTGGCATCGAAGTCATGAGCGATGAACTGCTGAAATGAAGCAATCTTACTGGTGACCTGCGGCTTATGGTCATGAGCCGGAGTGCCGCCGTTCATCGGACGATTGATATTGAAAACCGAGTGTGTTATCTTCACCAGAGCCGTTGCAGGAACATTTGCGAAGTTTTCATGATCCAACAGGTACGCCGCGACCTCCCTGAACCCTGTCTCCCCTACCCGGACAGACTTCTTCAGTCCCGGCTGGCCAAGCGCTCTCCCGGTGAACCCCTTCGGGTTGTTCGGGGCAAACGGCTCCTCATCTGTCGGCTTGACAATGGCGACTCTGTCGCCCTCATCATTCCGGAAGTAGTAGGAGCCGCCAAGGCCACTGTCGATGGGGACCGGATCCAGCCCGCCCATTATGCCGGCGGCCACGTCGTCGACGAGGCGCCTCACGCTGCCGCTCGACGACCCGAGTATCTCAACCAGGCCGCCGCAGTCCTTCTGCTCGAAGTCCTCGGAGACGGGGCAGAGGCACGGGGTGGAGCAGCTGCGGTGGATGCTGTTGCGGGTGAGCAGCAGCGGCGAGTCGTGGCGGACGGAGGAGAGGTCGTTCTCCAGGACGCGGTCGCCGAAGGTGAGCGAGGTGCCGCCGGTGGGCACGTTGAGGGCGAGCTGCAGCCGGCGCTTGACGGTGTGCGCGTTGTCGCCGCGGTCCAGGTCCATGCCCAGCACGCACCCGGACTCCGTCTGCACGAACACCCGCCGCCTCCCCGCCGGAGGCGGCGAAGGCGAGGGCGACGGCCGCGGCGCCTGGTGGTGGTGGTGCTGCCTGGCCGCCGCGGCCTCATCCCGGCGCGCCCCGGCGCCGAAGAGGCGCCGGAGGAGCAGCGCGGGCACCTGGCTCTTGAGCGTGCCCTCCAGGTTGGGGGACATGGCGGCCGCGGCCGCTCCCTTTCCTCCTCCGCTTGCCGCGCGCGGACGCCGTCAGGGAGAGCAGGGGAAGGCGCGCTCTCGTTGCTATCATCGGATCACGCCTGCCGGCCAACAACAACCAAAAAAACAGAATTTTACACTCCAATCTATGCACCAAACACCTCACAATCGCGTACACTGAATCTCGCCACGAACTAAGCATCAACCGGACTGAATTAATGAAAAAAGAGAGCAAGAAGCGGACGAACTCAGATGCGGCGAAGGAGAGGGCGGGAACTGATTCTCCGCCGAGGTCTCACCATGGAGGAGGGGGCGGCGCGGTGGAGGACGGTGGGGGGATCGGCCGGCGGCGATGGCGCCGGCCGGGGCGGCGAGGTAGCAGGCTAGCGGCGGAGCAGATCCGCGGTCGTGGTCATGCCGTCCCTCCCTTGCTTGGCCTCTTCTTGCTACTGCGCCCGCATCATCATCACCAACCCGCTGCCCGCCTTGGAGAGGGGTATTCCTCTGGGTTTTTTCTACCTGATCCGAAAAAAGTGATAAGAATTGAATCTTGCCACATAACACCCTGACATACATAATATTCGCACCTGGAACCGCCATACAAAGAGCATGTTACATTTTGCCATTTTGAACCATCCAACTTGGTAATTCCTAGATACATCCATTTGGGGACAAACTTTTCCGGACGAAGGGAGTATTGCATTACTAGTTGCAATTTGGACAAAGTATGATGTCACTTTCAATCTATTCATCTTCAATCATGGTAGTACAACGATTCAGATCCGTAGACCACCTAGCGACGACTACCAACACTGAAGCGAGCAGAAGGCGCGCCGCTGTCATCGCACTTCCCTCCCTGGAGCCGGGCAAACCTTGTTGTAGACTTGTAGTAGACAGTCGGAAATTCGTCGTGCTAAGGCCCCATAGAACCAACGCACCAGAACAGTAACCGCCGCGGATGAAGAGTGTAGATCCAAATGATCCAACCTGAAGACACACGAACGAAGATGAATGACGAACAGATCCGAGCAAATCCACCAAAGACAGATCCGTCGGAGACACACCTCCACACGCCCACCGATGATGCTAGACGCATCACTGGAATGAGGGCTAGGCGGGGAGACCTTTATTCCATCTTCAGGGAGCCGTCGCGGTCTCGCCTTCCTGAGCAGGACGCAAAACCAAAAGCTTGAAAAAAGATCTTAAAATGGAGCCCTCCCACCGGAGGGGGCCGAGATCCACTCCGCCCCCATGGACCTAAGGCCACCGGAGATGGGACGGACTAGCGTCGACGCCGGTGGGAGGCAAAGAATCCTAGTTTTTGGGAGGCGGCGGCTGGCTAGTTGGGAGACGACGGCTGGGTCAAGAGATCCTATATTGCGTCAAGAGATCATCTCTTAAATAAAAGAAGACAAGACTTTTCTTGTGATGTCTCTTTCCACTACCTCAACATTTTTCTATGTGACACTCCTTTTTTTTAGGAAAACTCTATGTGACACTTTCAAGATAGCCCCGTAGCATCGTTCTAACTTAACTTATACATGCCCTTAGAACAACTCTAGCAGACCCTGCAAAATTCCGACCCGCAAAACGCGTTTGCAGTTCGACGAAAATATCGTTTGCGAGTCGAGAACGAGCGCGACCGATCAGAAACCGTAGATGAAACTGCATAATTTGAAAAAAAAAGATTCACGGGAGAAATTGCATCATAGTAGTTCATCACATACTACATACCCCCTTCGTCGCAAAATTCTTGTCTTAGATTTATCTAGATACAGATGTATCTAACACTAAAATGTGAAAATAGATGCATCCATATGTAGACAAATATAAGACAAGAATTTTGGGACGGAGGGAGTATATTACATGATCAAACACTACAAACACTAGTTCATACTACATACTACATCAGTACTAGTACTAGAGGTGGTGGGGATCTCATAGCGGCGAGCTCACAGCTATGGACGACGCCATGGAGGATCTCAATCCTCCTCGCCGGAGCTGCAGAGGTTGATGCACTTCTTCATCTGCTCCTCGCGGATGCGCCGCCACTCGTCGTCCTTCTCCTTGGCGGCAAGATTGGCCGCGACCGCATGCTGGAACTGGAGGTCTTCGAGCTCCTTGTGGAGGAGCTCCCGACGTAAGAAGATCTCGCCGCGGAGGACGAGCTCGCGGGCGTGCCAACGGTCGTATTTGTCCGTCTCTCGGACGTGGAAGCTCGGCGGCGGCGAGAGGCCGCGGTTGGTCCACTTCCTCGCCATGCGCTTCCTCGCGCCGTTCGACAGGACGCGCCGCTCGCGCTCGGAGCCGCTGCCGCCGCAGGATCTACTCTCGGAGCCGCGTTCGGAGCTCCACATGCGGCCCCACATGGCGGTAGGAGGCGGAAGGGGCTCGCCGGTGGCGAGAAATATGAGGAAGGGAGTGGGGAATTGCGGAGCTCGGCGGCGGCGGGGGGATGGGGTTTCGAGCCGCAAACGCACCGCAAACTCGTAGATATACTGGTCGGGGCGGGCGGTTCGCGTGCCGCGGTAGATATTTTTACGGGCCGGGCGAGTATACAGGCTCTATCCTGACCAGAAATTTGGATCGAGTCCGCATACTTGCCGGAATTTTGCGGGTTTGCGGATTTTGCGTGGTCTCTCTGCTAGAGTTGCTCCTATAATTTGCTTTCGTTCAGAGAAGACCGGTAAATACGGACGAACCATGAGGGGCCAACCTGAAAAAAGACGATAACTGTACGGGCGTGATGACCCGCGGCCCCCCTGTACCTCGCGTGCCGCGACGCTGCACCGCGCGGGGCAACCCGTGCCCGCCACGCCTCACCGCGAGCGGACGGCGTGGGAGCGAAGGTAGAGCCGGGTCGCGGTTCCCGCCCGCCCGGCTAGCCAGCCGCGTGGAAAGGCCTGGAAGGGGCCGCGGCAGCCGTCCGATGATGAATCACCAGCCGTCCAAACGCTCGAGCACCCACGTACTGAGCGGCGAACAAATGGCGGCGATGTGGATAAGGGCCATTGGCCACAGCCGGATGGCGCGGAGGGTGGGCCCGCAGCCTCGCTGTTTACGAGACGGTCTGGCGTGGGCCGATTCCTATCCGAAAGAGAAAGCTCCTGTTAGTTTCAAAAAAAAAAAAGAAAAGAAAAGAGAAAGCTCCTGTTTCTCAAAAAAAAAAAGAGAGAGAGAGAAGAGAGAAAGCTCCTGCAACTTCTTCTGCTTGTTCGACTGGCGTTCGTGCTTTTCAGCTGCAGTTGGGACGAACCTGCCACCTCCTGACGGCCTCCAAGTTGCAAATCTGACGGCTCTATCCCGTGGGCACCGTTCACGGTTTAGGAGAATGAATCTCGTCTCGTCTCGTCGTCCTGTATTATTTGTCCATGCGATCTTCTTCTCTTCCTTGTCAGAGAAGCTCGTCGGGTGCTGGCAAATACCACGGGCCATCTTGTTAAAGCCGTTGGCCTTGTTTGACCTACATGGATGGATGGCTTTCTTTGTTTTCTCGAATTCTCGCTCGCCGTCGCAATCTGCATCGTATTCTCTTAGAGCGTCTATAGTCGGTCGGATAGATCGAATCCGACCCCTCAAACGCCCGCGAGCGCCACTCAATGACGAAACCTCAAATCCATACAATTACATGCAGCATGAAACCTAATCTAAGCGGAGCTCGCCCGTGTCCATGTCCAGCAAGCCGGCTGCGTCTCTCGAAGTGTTGCTCCAATCGCCGGCAAGGTAGCGTAGGACATGCATGGGACATGCACCGACTCACGGGACTCGAGACGCCGCCGGCTCCCATGCCCTAATGTTCATGGTCGGAGTCCGGAGTCTTCACACTGCCAGTCAATGTGAGGTCGGCAATGGATCCACCGTGTTCAGGGAGGCTGACAAGTCACCACTCACAACGACGCGCACGGCTGCCCCACCCGGGGTTCCAGGCCACTCGCTGAGTGTGCAGCTTGCCCGCCTTTTCTATTAAGAAATGTCGTCAAGGGCTTAGTCTAATTCTGTTTACTACAGTTTGTTCATGTCACAACAACAAAACAATACAATATGGCTGAAATAAAAATTCTTGGCTGAAAATGTTGTTTGCCTTTCTTAGTCTGCCAATGGTACTCTGATGTATGTCTTTTTTTTAAACAAGGCAAAAATTTGCCATTTCATTGATTAAGAAGAAGGTTTAGACAGGCCACAAAGTGGCCAGAAATAAGATTTACTCTCGCGACATTACAATACTCAAATGCTTGGCGCCCGCCAATGCCCAAAGCGACAACTTCTCTTTTATCTTGCTAATGACTACCGTCGTAGGTGCGGAAAACTCTAGCATTGTGCTCCGTCCAAATTTCCCAGGAGATGAGCATCATAAAGCGAAGCAAGTGCCTTGGGGGATTCAAAACAAAGATAAACGTTCCCGGTCCACCATTCCCACACCGAGCCCCTCGCTGACCATGTAGTAGTTTGAATGTGATGCATGCCAAGCCAGTGAAGAATATCGTTCCACACACGAAGGATGAAACGACATTGAAAAAGCAACTGGGCCGCAGATTCTGGACTTTGCTTGCAAAGAGGGCATAGCCTGCAGTTGGGCCACCCACGACGAGCAAGGCGATCTGATGTCCAGATTCTATCTTGAAGTACAAGCCAGGCGAAAAATTTGCACTGTGGAGGAGCCCACACCTTCCACACTGATAGGACCGTGGCTGACGCCGTTAGGCCCTTGAACTGCGCCTTGTAAGCCGAGGAAGCAGAGTACACTCCATCCTTGGTGAACTTCTAGATAATATCCTTCACGTCCTCATCCAGAGTGACCGAGTCAATCTTCTCCCAAAGTGTGGTAAACTGGTGGACATGGTCGACTGTGAGACCGTTAGAGAAGTCAATATGAGAGATTCAAGTGTTGTTTGTTAAAGCCTGTTTGACCGAGCAGTTTTTCCTTTGGGAGAGGTTGAAGATGCCAGGCGCGAGGTCACGCGGGCGCATGCCATCAAGCCAGAAGGAGTTACAGAACTTGGCCACATGCCCATTGCCAACAGAGACGAAAGTGGCGTCTGTCTTCATCAATGCATGGCGTACCCATACCAATCCACGGTCTTGCGGGCTCTTCCCACATGAACCAAATATTCAAAGAAGAAATACGAGGCTGTAAATAATCATGCATATAAGAGATCAAAGAAGACCCAAATAATATTCATGGATATAGATCTGATCATAAACTCAAAGTTCATCGGATCCCAACAAACACACCGCAAAAAGAGTTACATCAAATAGATCCCCAAGAGACCATTGTGTTGAAAATCAAGAGAGAGAGAGAGAGAGAGAGAGAGAGAAAGCCATCTAGCTACTGCCTACGGACCCGTAGGTCTATGATGAACTACTCATGCATCATCGGAGAGGCACCAATGAGGATGATGAACCCCTCCGTGATGGT